ATTCGAGGGGCTACTATGCGCGCGGGAAGTACTATTAAGGAACTTCGTTCGCTCGGACTAACAGTAGAAACAGCTAGGACGCGTTATAACACTTTTTTTAACACACAGTTCAACCGAGCTTTTCAAAGTAACGATTACTTTCGCCAACTTACATCACACGTGTGGAAATTCAGTTTCTAAGGTGGGTATATATGACATATTGTGTACATGTGAATACTACCCTAACACATACTAAGCAAATGCCTTACCAACACGCATTGGGCACCATGTTTGGCAATGGCGGATATACGTCATTAGTTTTGTTGTTGACTCTCCCATGCCGGTTTATTGCACTATCCGGCATTATCTACATTGTATCCGTTGTCACCGTTTGGGTAGCCTCCCTGCAGTGAATATGTGTGCAATGAGCATTGTTATTTTTTGAGTTCCATTTGTTTTCTTCATTGACTTGTGCAGAAGTTTATTCAGTCATTTTAGCTATTCACGGTATTTTCAGTCATCTTTAGAAACCACCTTTGGGTTGTCTCTAATAGTCTTTTCGCACTTTTCTAACATTGTAGTCATCAACAGATGTTACCAGCATGCTTACTAAATGTCGTATCTTATAATCTCTCAGTCAAGCAAGAATAAGTTTAACACCACCAATCATTCATATTATCTGCGTGTTTCGCTTTGTCGAATGATGCTATTTAATACCCATGATATAACTGTGAGAAATAGAAAACAAAGCTAGTAGATACATAGTACATATTAATAATTCATCATGGCATATTTCAGCAATAAGCCACTGGGCAAAGAAATGTCGACAGTATTGCGAGGAGAATATCTGTCATTTTGATTTGTCGTATCACCTCAAAATCCCAATCTACCTATGTGTTCAACTCACCAAAACACATCTAAATGTAAGTATGCGACCAAGTAAACAGGGGAATCATTTAGGAATTGTTCGAAAAGAAGAAAGAGGAAGGTCTATGGATAGCTTCGTAAACAGACCAACTTTAAAGGCTGATTTCTGACAGGGCAACAAATGACGAATGGACTTACGGCATGTTATAAAATCAGCAAGTTGCTTGCCGAAAATTGCAGTCCAGATGATGTTAGAGAAAATATTAGTTTGCCTTCAGTAGCAAAATTACTGTCTGACCTGATGAATATGAATCTACAAGAAGCAGTTTAAGCCATTCGACTCAGCAATTCGATGATATCCAGGCGAATAGATGACATAGCTTAGGACATGGAAAGTAGCTAGGTTACTTTACTACAGTCCAGAAAACTTTCGTTACAAGTAGGTGAATATACTTTAACTAGCAACGACGCTCTTCTCTTGTCGTATGTACGATTCGGTACTAATATTGTATTAGTGGAGGAGATGCTGTTTGCCAGGAGAAGTAAAATTCATACAAAGGGCCAGTCTCTATTTGAGGTAGTCAATAGCTATCTGGACGACAACTCCATTCCAATATAGAACATAGTTGCATGTGCGACAGTTGGTCGGAAGATACAAATGATTTATTGCTCATCTAAAAATGTTCATCCTTTTCTTAATACAATTCACTGTGTGACTGACTCATCCAGATCACCGAGTGGATAAGAAATTTGCAGGGCGCTTAAACGATTCACTGGCAACTGTTATAATAGTTATCAACAATATCAAATCGCACGCTGTTCAAAAACGCCTTTTCCAAAAGTTGTTTGAGAAAAACAGTGATTTCCCAGTTTTACTGTCGCATACAGAAGTTAGATGGCTGTTCAAGGGCAACTGTCTTCGTCGTTTTGTTGCACGCTGGGACATCAACATCACAATCCTTTTCTAACTGATTATGAAAGAAAGCTATTAATAGCTAATCCAGACGTGTTTTATCTGGCTGATATTTTCGAGAAACAAGTTATAAGGTAAAACTCTTCAAGACAAGTTGAGTAAACTAATCTCGAGCAAAGAAGGCATTATCGCTTCTCTTAAAAAGCTGGTAGTGTATGCTCAAAACATCGGACGTCGGGAATTTTCACGGTTTCCAGTTTTTTGTTAGTCACTGAGGAGCTGAACGATGAAGACTTCGTTGCTTTTGCCAGTCACTTACAACAACTTCGAAAAGAAATGAAAGACAGGTTTCCGGACCTGACTGATATGGATATCTCGAATTGCATCTTAGATCCATTTGATGTACAGCCCTGTGATGTTGGAGTTAAAATCCAGGGAAGTCTCGTATGGCTTCAAAGTGATTCACTAATAAGATACAAATGTACGCAATATAAAGGGATTTTGAATAGTCTTGTGATCCTAACAGATATCCCAGATTGTGGAAAGCAGCTAAAATATATTTCCTTGCTTTTCCATCCACATACTTTGTTGAATGTGGATTCAGCCGAGTGGTTTCTCTAACAAAACTAGAAACTGATTGGACATGACTCAAGAGGAGATCTTCGACTCTCGCTGGAAAGTCTGGACCCGCACATTAGCAAGGTTGATCAAGGACATCAGACTCAAAGCTGGCATCAAAAATTCAAGGGACTTATTGTGACGAAGTTAGTACACTCCCGAACACTTCTCATGCCTTGCAGTTAGAAGCCAACAATAGTCAAATACAGTTCTTAAATACTAAGCATGACTTTTGTTCAATTACAGACAAGTGGTTTCATGGTGCCACACAATGAATGTTATCTCGAGGCTGTGAACATTAAAGAATGGGCTTTAAAAGGGGAAGAACAGTGATACCAACAGTAAAAATTTAGTAATCATAACAAAAGCTACCACTTGAAATTACAGCTTTACGTCTGTTAGGTGTTGTGGAGTGCTGAATTTGTGGTAATCAAGGATGGGGGGACATGCGAAATGGAAAGGTTCAAAAAGAGGACACTGCTTAAAAATGGTTGAGAATGGTCGAACATGACAGCCATGGCAACTGTGCATACACAATCTAGTGCACGTGTGTGATGCTCTGTTATCCCCACAAGCACATGAGGTACCTGGAGTTAAACACTGCATCAAATGCAGGTTCTACTTTTCCCTTTTATCCCAGTGGGAATATTGGTCCAAGGTAACGTCACATTTGCACAACATTTAACGACCCGAGTAAGGTTCTTTTGGGAGGGTAGAGCGAGCAACGTGTTTCTCATGCCCGTAGCCAATCGCGGAACAAACAGAGAGTCACACGCTATCACGGCCAAGTTGTGTGTCTGCCTCAGTGCTTTCAATCAGGTGTTTGACCATGTAAGCGAGTGAGATTTTAACACACAGCTGCTTGTACTGTAGCGCATCAGAGTGTCGCCATAGCAAGTCAACAGGTCAGATGCCGTCGAACAGTTGTTATTTCTTCCACTTTGCCTTCCCAGTTCGTCGTCAGTATCGTTAGAGCTACCATCTCTCGTGGGTGTTTTCACGTCATCCATCCAGTCACCGCACGCCTCGTCCTCCATCGGCTGCTGGGACAATGCCATCCAGCTCGCCACGGGGTGTAACACAAGAACACCTACCATCCAGCTCCGACACTTACTAGGTAGTGTCCTGCCACTTAGGAAGTACCTCATTTGCCTTTCAGCCCCCTCGGTCTATTATGACTCACATACGCCTCGGACACAGAGGCTCTCGAAACCCTCGACCGGCCGCACATTATATTTACCGAAACCGCGGATTGGAGAATAGAACTCTTGTATGCTGATCCGTTGTATCCTTTAATGCGACGCGGCTGGGAGACCCAGTCACGCAAAAGGCTCACAGAATTATTGTATGGGGCCTGATTCTTACTTTGTTAGCATTCACACTCTACTTCCAGCAGACTCTACCAGTTCCAGCACATAACCCAGTTTTGTATTTTAGTCGGTCACATCCTCAAATGTTAAACTACTAACTTGGATCATCAACATCTGTGTACACGCACCATAGTTCGTGTGTGTGGTGCTCTAGTATCCTTACGAGCACATGAGATACCTGAATATAAACACAGCATCAAGTACACCTTTCGCTTTTCCCTTTTAGCCCAGTGGGACCAGTGGTACAAGACGAGGTCAGAGAGCTGCACACCATTGACGACCCTTGTACGACTCAAGTTTTACCTGGGCCGGATTATTGCTTTTAAGAATTACCATAGCTATTCGCACCTGAATTCACCAGTTCCATCAAACAACTCACATTTTATGTTGCAGCCGGTCGCATTCTCTGGTGTCAGACTGTTAGTTTAGCTCATGAGTACAAATGTAGCTTTCAAGGTCGCACACTTTGTCTTTATCATTCTGAAAATAACTTTAGTTACGCTTTTCTATTTCCACCGACCTGCAATTTTTCAATCTGGTCATGGATTCTAATTTGTACAAGCGAATTCTATTTTGAAACACAGCCACAGTAATATACTACAAACCTTCCGCACCACCCTAACTGTCTAGACACTGCATACGGTAAAGATTTTACAGCCATCAATGCTCCTTGTATGTCTCTACGAGGTACATGGTTTTAGCTTGTTTCTGGCGTTACAACCCAATGGAGTCAATGAAGCCACCTAACGCCTGGCTATGGTTGATTACACATACTCGAACAGTGAGGAATGCCCATCGGTTCACTGATAGTGTGAATAATAGTTACGGTGGAGCTTTAGATGACCGAACTTACGGTCAATCTGGACTCGCCACCTTTACTGATTATTCGATTCGTTCACATTGTAGTTACTTGGATGGCGTACTGTCTCCATGACCGTGTAGGCTTCGGTCAGAATAGACAAATAATGACGGATAAGGTAGCATTTTTGGAGCTGTCCATATGGAAGGTGCATAACAATATGAGGTTCTATGGATGCATAGAAACATCACAACCCAATTCCAATCATGTACCTCGGGGTCATAAAGGGGCTGCACGGGTGGACACTTAAGAACTCTGGCAATAGAGCGCGTTGGTTTGTCATTCGCTTTAGTTGAGAATAATGCTCAGCAGTATATCGGCCTATTGTGTACCCTACATAGCCGAATAACAATTTATTTTCATTAATCACTAATCAGGTACTAGCAAAACTCACCTGGGTCGCAGATTTTTGCTTGATAGACCCCCGTGTTTACCTCTCGTAGATTTGTGATTTGCAGCACGCCATCTGCTTGCTCCACTAACGCACTCTCACTTGAATCCGTGGGCTTTACATGTGGCTCCTGGAAGCTGGGATCGATCAAAGACCAGGTGGTTCTGAGGGGTAAATTAGGCAGATCTGTGATGCATAATCTGAAAGAATGTCCCTCATCCGCGTACACTGTCACGTGGCCATTGAGAGTAACTGCTTCAGCCAAAGGGATGCAGATTAGGGTCTCGTTCCGCACCATTTGTGTTACAACATTCGCCATCTCCGCTTTGTCACACTCCACCTCCAAGAACAGTTTTCCACATGAGGAATATAGCATCTTCCCTGACCGTACAGTAGCGGCCTTTCGCAGTGTTTTGTCCGATTTAAGCCTTGACTTAATGGTGGCACTATCATTCATGATTAATTCCTTGGTGGCAAGCGAAATGTTCTCCTTATTTTGTGCCAACTCTTCCAGTAAGCGCTCGCCTGTGAGATCCGATTTTGGAAACTGCCGCGCTCCACTGACTGGTTCAAGTTGTCTCGCAAACATGTCGTCTTCGTACTTAGGTATTCCAAAATTAATTGTGTCAGCCTTCACTGTGTCATGCTTTTCGGACGCAACCATATTGCTCTCTTGAGTAACGTGTTCAATGGTTGTTTGCTCTGTTGTCACATCCCTGTCGTCAGGCCGCGCCTTTTCCTCGCCACGATGTCGCTTAGATTTGGCACCTTTTTTACTCTTTCTGCCCTTATCCTCGGCTTCTGCTAAGTAGGCGCTAGGTTCCCCTAAGCTGCTCGGTCGCATTTGGATGTCACTAATATCCCTCTCTTTTTCTGCTCTCTGTGAAGTGTGGTGCATCTCCAGCCTGCCATAAATCTCAGTATCATTAGCTACTTCCACTTTCAACCGATTAACTCCTGATTCATCCTCTACTCGCCCCAATTCAACGTCATCCGCCAAACGCTTTTCATGAAACTCCTCTGCGAACTGCAACTTCCCTGTATTCTCCGCTGATCGCTCATGCTCCATTTCCTCTTTAACCCCCTTCTTCTTGGACTTCTTAGTTAAACTCTTTGTCTTTGCATTCTCAGCCACTCTCTTTTCTTCCGCTTCCGCTGACAAGCTCACATTCTCAGCCTCTGCCAATCCTTTCTTCTCTTCATCTGCTAATAGTTTGGTTTCTGCCTTCACGACCACTATGTTCCTCGTTGCCTCTTCTTCCAACCGCTTTGTCCCTGCGTCATTAGTCACTTCACGCCTTTCCGCCTCCTCCGCCAATAATTCCTTTGCTGACTCTTCAGTTAAACTCCTTTGCTCTGTCGCCTTTACTCGCTTCTTCCCTGCCTTATCTGTCGAACGTTTCTCCTCTATTTCCGCTGTAAATTTCTTGATCTCTGCCTCCATAACTAGTTGCACCTTCTCTGCCTCTTCTGCCTGCTCTTTCTTTTCTGCTTCCCTTACCATTCTTTTATCCTCCACCTCCTCCAATGTTTGCTTCGCTGATTCCTCAGCTAAAAGTTTCTTTTTTGTCACCTTTGTCTGTTTTCCCTTCTCTGTTTTAACTGTCTGTTTTTTCTTCTCTTTCTCCTCTGCCAGTCGGTTCTTTTCTGTTTCTTCAGCTAAACGCTTCCTTACAGCCTCCTCTGCCTGCTTTTTCTCTGCTTCCTCCATCAGTCGTTTCTTCTCTGTGTCCTTTGCTAGTATTTTCATCGCGGCCTCCTCTGCCTGCCTTTGCTTCTCGGCTTCCACTTCCAGTAGTTTCGTCGCTGCTTCCTCAGATAATCGTTTCATTTCTGCCTCCTCCGCCAGCCGCTTCTTCTCCGCCTCATCTGCCTGTTTTCTCTTCTCTGCTTCCTCAGCTAACCGTTTCTTTTCTGCCTCCTCCGCTAGCCGCTTCTTCTCCGCCTTCTCTGCCTGCTTTTTCTTCGCTGCTTTCTCAGCCAATCTTTTCATTTCCGCCTCCTCTGCCAGTTGTTTCTTTTCTGCGTCCTCAGCTAACCGTTTCTTTTCTGCCTCCTCCGCTAGCCGCCTCTTCTCCGCCTCATCTGCCTGTCTTTTCTTCTCTGCTTCCTCAGCTAACCGTTTCTTTTCTGCTTCCTCCGCTAGCCGCTTTTTCTCCGCCTCCTCTGACTGTTTTTGCTTCTCTGCTTCCGCAGCTAAGCGTTTCTTTACCGCCTCCTCTGCCAGTCGTTTCTTTTCTGCTTCCTCAGCTAGCCGTTTCATTTCTGCCTCCTCCGCTAGCCGCTTCTTCTCCGCCTCCTCTGCCTGTTTTTTCTTCGCTGCTTCCTCAGCTAATCTTTTCTTCTCCGCCTCCTCGGCCCGTCGTTTCTTCTCTGCTTCCTCAGCTAACCGCTTCTTTTCTGCCTCCTCCGCTAGCCGCTTCTTCTCCGCCTCCTCTGCCTGTTTTCTCTTCTCTGCTTCCTCAGCTAACCGTTTCTTTCCTGCCTCCTCCGCTAGCCGCTTCTTCTCCGCCTCCTCTGACTGTTTTTGCTTCTCTGCTTCCTCAGCTAACCGTTTCTTTTCTGCCTCCTCCGCTAGCCGCTTCTTCTCCGCCTCCTCTGCCTGTTTTTGCTTCTCTGCTTCCTCAGCCAATCTTTTCTTCTCCAACTCCTCTGCCTGTTTTTTCGTTGCTGCTTCCTCAGCTAACCGTTTCTTTTCTGCCTCCTCTGCTAGCCGCTTCTTCTCTGCCTCCTCTGCCTGTTTTTTCTTCTCTGCTTCCTCAGCTAAGCGTTTCTTTTCCGCCTCCTCTGCCAGTCGTTTCTTTTCTGCTTCCTCAGCTAGTCGTTTCATTTCTGCCTCCTCCGCTAGCCGCCTCTTCTCCGCCTCCTCTGCCAGTCGTTTCTTTTCTGCTTCCTCAGCTAACCGTTTCTTTTCCGCCTCCTCCGCTAGCCGCTTCTTCTCCGCCTCCTCTGACTGTTTTTGCTTCTCTGCTTCCTCAGCTAGCCGTTTCTTTTCTGCCTCCTCTGCTAACCGCTTCTTCTCCGCCTCCTCTACCAGTCGTTTATTCTCTGCTTCTTCAGTTAGCCGTTTCATTTCTGCCTCCTCCGCTAGCCGCTTCTTCTCCGCTTTCTCTGTCTGTCTTTTCTTCGCTGCTTCCTCAGCCAATCGTTCCGCCTCTGCTTCCCCTGCCAGTCGCTTGTTTTCTGCTTCGTCAGCTAATCTTCTCTTTTCCGCCTCCTCTGCCATTCCTTTCCCGTCTGCTTCCTGAGCTAACCGTTTTATTTCTGTCTCCACTGCTAGCCGCTTCTTCTCCGTCTCCTCTGCCGGTCGCTTCTTCTCTACTTCCTCAGCTAACCGTTGCTTTGTTGCCTCCTCTGTTGGCCGCTTCTTCTCCCCCTCCTCTGCGTGTAGTTTCTTCGCGGCTTCCTTAGCCAATCTTTTCTTCTCCGCATCCTCTGCCAGTCGTTGCTTCTCAGCTTCCTTAGTAAAGGTTTCATTTTCGGCCACTCCTACCAACCACTTCTCCTCTGTCCCCTCGACCATGCGCCTCTGCTCCTCCTCTGGCTCTTTTATCATCGCTGTTTCCTCTGCCAGTCTTTTCGTTTCCGCCTCCTCGGCCAATGGCTTCTTCCCTTCTTCCTCGGCTAAAATGTTCTTTTCTCTCTCATCTTCTAATCGTTTCGTTTCCGTTTCATCTGCTTGTTTTTGCTTTATTGATTCATCTGCCGATTGTTCCTTCTCTGCTTTCTTAATTAAACGTTGCTCTTTAGCCTCTTCTTCGCATCTTTCTTTCGCTTCTTCTTCTTCTACTCGCTTGTTTTCTGCCTCCTCATTTATGCATTTCGCCTTAGCGTGCTCTGCCAAACGCTTCTTCTCTACTTCCTCTACCATACTTTTATTCTTTGCCTCATTTACCTGAGTTTTCTTCTCGTCCACAGTTAAACGTTTTTCTTCAGCCTCATCCACAAACCACTTCTCTGCATCCTCTGTCAATTGTATTTTCGCCGGTTCCTCTGCCAGTCTTTTGTTCTCCGTCTCTTCCGTCAACCGCTCCTCTTCTGCCTCTTCAGCCAAACATTGCTTCTCCGTTTCCTCTGTCAAAAGTCTTTGTTCAGGCTCTTCCACCAACCGTTTTCTGTCCGCTTCCTCTGATAATCCTTGCATTTCAGCCGCTTTGGTTAGGCTTTTCATTTCTGACTCCTGCCCCAACTTCTTCCTTTCACCATTTTCTGGCAGTGGGTTCCTTTCCTCATCCCGCGCCAAGTGTTTATTCTCCGTGTCCCCAGATAAGCGCATTCTCTCTGCATACTCGTCTTCCACTACCAATTGGTCCTTTTGCTTCTCTTTGGCTAGACGCTTCTTCTCCACTTTCGCCCCCAAAAGCCCCGGCTTAGCTTCTTCTAACAGTTTTTTCTTTATTGCCACTTCAGCGTTATTTTTATTGTCGGTTTCTTCGGCTAACAGTTGCTTTGTAATTTCTATCGCCACACTTCGTTCCTCTTGTCCTTCTGTCCGTTCCTTTTCCTCAGTCTTAACCACAAACCGCTTCATTTCGCGTTGTTCAGCCAGGTCTTTCTGTGTTCCTTCCTTTTCGTTTGGTACCCCGGTTCCAATCCTTTCACCCATTTGCTTTTCTTCACATTTCCCAGGGATCTTTTCCGAAATCTCAGTTAATTTCTTTACCTCAGCTTCCTCAGGTGAGTCCCTTTTCGCAATTCTTACATCCATCTGCTCTTTATGAGATTCCCCGATCGGTAGTTTTATTTCAGCACCTGAAGTCACTAGCATGACTTCTAATTCATCATCGGTGTACCCGGTCTGACTATCTTTAGCAAAGTATTTACCCTCAGCGTGATGGATCTGTCTCTCACTTGGAGTTGCTGTATCAGATGTCACAGCTACACTGATCGATCTTTCTGCTTCGGGTTTTCCAAGTGAGAGCTTCATTTCAGAATCGTCCACCACGTGGTTTATTTCAGTTTCCTCAATTAACGACAGATCTTCGGTCGTTGTTATTGAACCCTTCCTATCCTGTTCATCATCTGTTAGCCTATCTTCAACTTGCCTTGTAGTTCGCCTTTCGGTACTTTCCATTTCGCTGTCAAGTGCTTCTTGCGTCTCCAGTTTGGATTTTTCATTATCACGTGGAGGCTCAGCAATCTGGCTAACTCCTGTTATCTCTCCCAGCGAATATTCATCATCATGACATTTCTCCCTACTATCAACCTCCTCTGAAAGAATCGCGGTTGTTTGATTAGCTGCCACAAGTTCAGGCGTTTCATTGACTTCATTCCCGGACTCCTTATCGAAAGTTGCCCCAACATGACATGCATCATCTGATAACCATGGACCTTCTGAAGTAGCTATGTCACCAAAGTCCTTTACTACATCGATCCATTCTTCCTCGTCCTCAGTTACCTCTTCGTAATCTGTTTCAAGGGAAATAACATCACATTGTTGCAGTTCAGGGGTTCTTTCTTCCAATTTTACGTCATCTTCTAAGTCAATCGATTCAGTAGGTACTTCCAAATCACTATCTGCCTCCAGTACATCAACTACAAATTCTATACACTTGGTAGCCTCATCCATCAGATGTTCTTTGCCTACCCAACAAGCGTACACTCCGACATCGGATTTCTCCACTACTGGTTTCACCAGTTTAATGGTCTGGTTCGTTCTGTTGAGCAAGCACTTGAAATCTAGCGTATCTTCCAAGCTTACATTTCTGCCAGCAATGAATTGACCATCCATTGTCCACCAAATCGCCGTATCTTCTCCGGTAGAATTCAAATCGTACGGTGTGATGAGGCTGAAGCGCTCGCCCTGAATGAGCTGTATGTCGAATAGATCACTAATGCTGACAACTTTTGGGAGTGACGCATGTGGTGGCACTGTCAATGAGTGTACAGCTACGAAGCCGCTTTCTATTTCCTCTTTAGTGGGTTCTCTGAACTCCACCTCAATGGATTCGGTGTAGACCTGTGGACGGTTGTCACAATCAGTGAAGCTTAATGTGCATGTATATTCGGATCTTGCCTCCGGTAAAAAGTCAAAGGTAGTTGTCCTTAATATGGCAGTATTATCTTCTACGCCCATAGTGCAACATTGCGAGAACTGTAGCAGCTGACCTTTGTGAAACCACTGGATAGTCACCAGATCCCAAGTATTTATTTGATCGTTCGTCCGACCCAGCATAGCCAGCAGCGCTTCTTTGTCCACACCGACGCGTAGTTCTAGTATTTTTCCTATTGGGACCGATATCTTTGACATCATGTGATGTAGAATGTCTCGTTTAAGAGGTATAAGTTCCATTAGCTCGTTATCCGTTTCTTGCTTCAGTTCATCAACTCCAGCCACTTCAGCTTCGGGTTCGATATCTTCCGTCTCTTGCGACCTCGGTAACACATTCACGTAAAAATACACCGCAGTCTCGGTTTTATCAAAAAGACGACATCGACAAGTATAGGTTCCAGAATGAATTAACGGCTCGGCATTGGTAATCAGTAGACGTGTGTCCCAGTCAGATAGAATCATATCAGCACCAAGGTCATCCGGCAGAGGTTGGCCATTGAATAGCCACTGTACTTCGTATGCGATGGGTCCAGTGATGGTGAACGATGCGTTGAACTGAATCTGTTCCCCTGCCTGCACCGTCAGCGTCTTTTTGACCGCATCTGCCAGAACCACCTCGGTTGATAGGTCATCTTTCACTAGATTGAATGGAAAAAATAAGATAATTAATCGCATTGACAGAGACAAGCAAAGGAATTTTGTGCTGATTTTGACAACCTATTTTGCTCAAGATTATCCAGTGGGTTCAGTATAAAAGTGTAACCGGTAATGCATTTCTAGGGTTGGTGTATGCAAGATACACTGTTATCATCAACGGATTCAACGGCATAGTGGTGGCTACCACCACAATTTGCTTTGGAGTGGAACCAGCTTGTTAGGATTAGTGATTCTAGGAATATCATTGACAACTACGTTAGCTGGTTTTCTGATAACAAATCTTACGGTTGTATTTAATATATCAGGTAGACAGGTTTTCATGAATACAAACAGAAACCCTGCCTCTGACTCGGATTTAAAACACCGCCTTGTCAACTCCATAAAGTTACTGTTGATGCAAAGGTGGACTTGGAGAATCCGCTGGTGCTTGGGTTGCTACAAGCAACCTCTATTGAGGCTTCGGTTCACTTGAAGTGAACCTCGGCCATTCCGATCTTAAAGACCGTAAGTAAAAAGAAACCTTTTATAGTGTTGCTCATCCCAACACGGTCTTTAAGATCGGAATGGCCGAGGTCCACTTCAAGTGAACCGAAGCCTCAATAGAGGTTGCTTGTAGCAACCCAAGCACCAGCGGATTCTCCAAGTCCACCTTTGAATTCGTTTCCGCTGTATCAAGCGTTGCTCGCGGATCTCAGTGGCATAGTGCTCATGGTGTCAACCATGAGCCACTAGGCTCTGAGTTCCAGCCCAACTCAGGCTATCTCCAACTGATGAGTCCTAACCAGGACGAAACCGCGGTCTTGGGGTGCCCGTGTTGGGATGAGCAACACTATAAAAGGTTTCTTTTTACTGTTGATGCAAACTTTGAGCATCTCTATAGAGAAGTCGTGTTGCTGAATCTAACAAATTTCACCAATGACGCCTGGTTCAAAAGCAACTTGGTGGATATAGTGCACAGGTTTTTTTTTACAACCCTCCGATACAACAGCAAAGGTGTCTTACTGCGGAACATAGTAGGGCGCTCCGTGAGCTAGAAGGTAACAAGAATGTGGTTATACTAAAACCTGATAAAGGTTTTGGTAGAGTTATCCTAGACAGGACTGCTTATCTGTGTAACATGGAAATGATATTATCAGATGGGACAAAATTCAAGCCAGATACTAACTTTGACACTGTTCGCCTGGTTGAAAAGCAAATCAGTCTTGAGTTGCAAGTTTTACAACTCCATGGCTTCATCTCAGGTGCCGAACACAGAAGGCTGAAACCCGTGGGTACCCATACCTCACAAACTATGGTCTGCCGAAAGTGCATATGGCAGGATTAGCTATGCGGCCAATACTATCTATGAATAATTCACCCTACCATACCGTCGCTACATGGTTGAACTACACGCTTGAGCCGGTGAGAAAACCTCTGGCAAAACACACTCTGTCAGACAGTTCGAATTACTTCCTCACTAGGAAAGCTTAAACTTGAGTGGGAAGCGAATGTGTTTTCTTGATGTGCAGTCGCTATTCGCCAACATTCCGCTGGAGGAAACCGTGAATCACCTTTGTGAATTTATCTCGCAAAACAATATCAGACTGCGGCTTCCTACGGAAATGTTGGAGCACATGCTTCTTTTGTGTACGAAGCATGTCGGAGTTTACTTTCAAGGGAGAGCGTATAAACAAATAGACGGTGTGGCGATGGGTAGCTCGTTGGGTCTTTTGCTAACAGATATTCATGAGCATGCTTGAAGAGAAGTGCGATGATATGATGGGTTTGGTGACTCTGTACAAACGATAGGTGGATGACATGCTTCTAAGCATGGATTTAGATGAGATTGTGCAGGCAACATCTACACTCAACCGGATGCACCCATACCTCACTGTAACCTGTGAGGCTGAGCACGATCATCGCCTCCCATACCTCGACATTTTGCTCATACGAAGGCCGGATGGTTCCATCAAGCGGTCAGTATACCGAATAGAAACCAGGACCGGCCAATACCTGCATTTTAAGAGCTTCTCACCAATACAACATTAACGCTATCGGGTCCGGACATCGTTCCATCCAGCCAAACTAATTTGTGCACCGGACACACTTGAAGTAGAAAGGGATTTTCTGTTCGACACTTTGCAATCCAATAATTCCCCCTTTACATTCCACAAAGCGCGTCTGTGAGACGACGAAGCCAGAATCAATGACGACTGTCCAGAAGAAGCCAGTTTTCTTTGGGCTGCCATTCAAAGGTGACCACATCATGAAAGTCGCCACGAAAAGGAAAAGTGTCTCTTTGAAAAAGGCGTATGATGCGGCAGAGTTGCGGTTGCTCACATCGACAAGACCATTGCTTATGTGCTCATTAAAGACACCGACGACGAAGCAGTGCATGTCCAACTGTTTATACAAATTTACCTGTCGTTGTGGGGACAGCTATATTGGGCACACTGACTGAAGTCTAGGCGTCAGGATAGATGAGCACATCCCTAATTGGTTGAGAAAGCGAATGGGATCTCAGACGGTGGAACCGGGTGAATCCAGAGGCAGGATAGCTTCGGCAATCACTAGGCATCTACTGAACATTGGCCATCAGGTCAACTCAAGTGACCCATTCAGTGTCCTCATGCGTGACCAAAGGCAACACATACTCAAACTAGTTGAAGCCATCGTAATTGATTGCGAGCGGCCGCCTCTGTGCCTACAGCAGCAGTGGACAGTAACACTGAGCCTGCCGTGGTAGTGCCGCAGTAATAGTTGGCCAGCAGCTGACAACCAATCGACCGCATCCGACCTTCTTGTTTTCAAATTGTTAGTTGCCTTGTACGTGATTGAGGAGATAGACACGAAATGACCGGGTCATCTCACAGCTTACGTCCTTTGATAATTCTGTTTAGAATAATGAATCCATTGGATCGTAGTATGACAAGTACTCTGTAAGTTCAACTGGGACTTAGAAGTCATAGTATATATATGCGAACGCGCTTCAAGACGAATCAGTTACGAGACACATGCTGGATCACATATTAGCATTTTAAAACTTGGTTGTTGTAGTGTGGCGACTATCACAATAATGGACTGAATGTTGTGGTTTATCTCTGCTTTTCATTAAATGATAAGCTTACGGTAAAACACCTTCCAATGCACCGCAGAATTAGCGACTAGTATATAACGGACAAGCCGAGGAGAGAATCACATGGAGATCAGCTGTTCCAGAGGCTGACCGGCGGTCACACATCAAGGATTCAAGTTACCGTATTCAATGCCTGGTAAGTTTGTTTCTTTGGTGGTGTGTATAAATATATAAGTATAAATATATCGTGCCCCATGCTGAGGCTGATGTTGCATTCTTGATGCTTCTTCACCGCAGTTGGGCTAAACCAACGTACACTTCAACTAGGTCTTTCTAAGCTGGCTAAATTTCATTCCACTTTATTTGGTTTGTACTGCCTACCTGAATAATCTTCTATTAACTGGCCACGGTGCTTTCACTAATTGCGCCTATCTTCGATAACTTTGTTGTGTTTGTATCATGTTTAAGTAACTTGTGGACATTTTTCCTTATCGCGGGTTCGTTGCTCACCAACTTACTTCATATGCTAATTTAGCGAAGAGCTATGCCAACGTATGTGTAGCATTATTGGATTGGTTTTATTCCATCTTGTCGTTTCAAGTGATTGGCCGTTGCATGATATCCCCGGTGTGGCTGCGCTTGATGTGCATGTTGACAAGGTGCCTACCTGTATATTACCCACTACCTCGTCCATACTGTCTCTAGGAGATAGTTGGTCGTTGTTGGAGGGGACAGGGTGCACCGTTCTTGTGGTCGTGTTAGGCTCGAAGAGTGGTTCCATGCACTCAGTGTGGAGCGGACTACGGTCCAGCCACCGTCTTGTGTGTACTTGATTCTCCAAATATAGCGTGCTTGTGTTTGCCTGTGAAGGAGTATGGGAAGGATCCGTTGATGAAACGTGGCTCCCATCCACATGCCTCCCGGTCTTATTCCTTCGGGTATACACTGGATATGGGGTATGTGGTTGGAGCTGTGGGTGGTGCAGCGCAAGCCACTCATGGTCCCTCTGTAGGCGCAGGCGTCCTGTGGCTGGCTACAGTGACAGGCAAATCCGAAACCGGATGCCGCCAACCATGTATTTATGTGTGCCCCATGCTGGGCTGATGTTGCATTCATGATGCTTCTTCACCGCAGTTGGGCTAAACCAACTTACACTTCAACTAGGTGCTTTTAAGCTGGATAAATTTCACTCCACTTCGTTTGTTTTGTTCTGCCTACCGGAATAATCTTCTATTAAATTTCCACGTTGCTTACGGTAATTGTACTTATCTTCGTTAACTTTATTGCGTTTATAGCATTTTCTGAGTCACTTCTGGACATTTTTACTTATCGCGGATTCGTTGCTAACTAACATACTTCATATGCTAATTTAGGGAAGAGTTATGTCTGCATAGCCGGATTCTTTAAGAGATATGTTTTATTTGTTACTGTCATTTCAAGTGATTGGCTGTTGTTTGACATCCCCAGTGCGGCTGCACTTGATGTGCATGTTGACAAGGAGTCTACCTGTCTATTACCGACTACCTCATCCATACTGTCTCTAGGAAATAGTTGGTCGTTGCTAGAGGGTACGGGGTGCACGGTCGTTGTGGTTGTGCTAGGCTCGAAGAATGGTTCCATGCACTCAGTGTGGAGCGGACTACGGTCCAGCCACCGCCTTGTGTGCGCTTGATTCCCCAAATGCAGCGTGTTTGTGTTTGCCTGTGAATGAGTGTGGGCCGGCTCCGTTGATGAAACGTGGCTCCCATCCACATGCTTCCCGGTCTTATTCCTTCGAGTTTACACTGGATATGGGGGCGTGTGGATGGAGCTGTGGGTGGTGCAGCGCAAGCCATCCATGGTCCCTCTGTAGGCGCAGGCGTCCTGTGGCTGGCCACAGTGACAGGCAAATCCGAAACCGGATGCCGCCAACCATAAATACATCGATGTCATGTTTGAATTGGCAAATATTTCTTGCTTCCTTTGGAGGACATGATTTTTCAGGCGCGTATGTTAGGGTTATACCAATAAATCTTTTGCTTTCATTGATTCCTTCACCAACAGTTGATGTAGTTCGGTTCACATTTAAAGAATCAGCATCCAAATCTAACTTACGTGAAATACCCTAAGGTGAGGTACGGCCGCTAGAGCAGTTTTTATTGCACTCAATTTGTTCATTTACCATGCACGCTATCAGCGCTGACCACACAGTCTGTTATCAAACTACCTACTTGAAGGATTAGCGACTCAGTTTGCCTCAAGAGTCTAATTTGGGAGTGGAGGTCGCCTTTTTTGTCCTTAGGAATGCGTTTAACACAGTAGTATGACAGAACCCGAAAAAGTATGGTGACCAGGTTCCAGCGTTTCCATAATTCAAAAATCCCACATAGGTAGTGGGAGGGGAACTCCCTTCTCATTCTCTGTCTATTAGCATATATAAAAACGGAAGTATCTGTTATCACTGCTATCGTCAACAGACATCTTTCCTGCTTTGTAGATATACTCACTCGAACGGAGCGAGAAAACAGCGAATTAGGAGCATAGAGTGGCACATGACATGTTGCTCCACATGAAGTGAAACTACTTATGGTGTTCATTGCTGTGTAGCTCTCAGCATAAGTAACTCAGACAGCGTTCCCACGGAGATTAGTGGTGATGGGTGAGTTAATTTGACCGAGTATGACTACGTGAGCATAGCCTTTACGTAAAAGGTAGAACATGCTTCCTAGCGACTAAACAATGACTTAGAAGAGCCAGCTCTAAATAGTCTGAATTGTCTATGCGCTACTTTGCAAAAGGTTGGCTTACATTCCGCCGTTAGCTGCTCATCCAACATCGAGCGTTGATCTTCCGAAAAGGGCGTGACAACTTCGTCCAACGTGGTATACGAATCTGTTTTAAGCACAAAAACACAGCGTTAAATGATTTTGCAAAATTGTTAAAGGGAAAAACAAAAAATATAGTAATCGAGTCACTTAAGCATGACAGGAAGCTTAAGTAAGATTACGGTGAATAATATGTTAAGTTTGACTGAAGTGCACAATCCCAGGAGAATACATGGGCTTGCGTTCAAGGAAGCTAAACGACATAGAAGAGCGGGTGAACTTCTAAATAAATTGGTGGATGGATGTTGACGTGAATGGTGATCAGAATCCCAGTAGACTATCACGCCGTGCTGCCTGCGATCAGTTGTGATTTGGCTGAATACGGTTAGACAGTCCCACCGCTTGGTAAGTGAACACGTGGAACGATCGACCTTGGTGCGTCTAATCCGGCCGATAATCGACACGATTGTTAGTCCTTCGCTTCTGCTGCTAGGATGTGTGTGTTAGCCCTGCACAAGGCTACACTATCTACTTTAGTGACAGCCGCTTAAGAACTCTTTCAAAGTCCTGTTGATCTAGCTGGGAAAGGAAGCATCTGCAAAAGTCTCATGGTTGCCAAAGAAAATGATTTCCGGTAATCGAGTGGAAGCTAAAGTCAACAACGTTAGTGCGCTGCTCATAATATCACGCTTCTCATTTGGATTCCGTTTAAACATGTACACCATATTTTTCTGGCCCTATGAATGGAGTGCCATCCAACACCAATAAGATTCGCGCATCTAAACGTGCACACCGTTGCAGGTGTCACGCTCATGGGTTATCAGACCAGGGTGAGACTGAGTATTTGGTGAAAAGTCCCTGTCAAGTAAGCTATAACCACTGATACTAGGTCATTAAACAAGAAGAACTCGGTGTGCAGTCAATAGTCAAGGCACAAACCACCCGCATAGCCATTGACACTTGTAGTCTGGTGGGCCTGTCAGTTGGGGTCGTTGGCCCCGTTCAAGCACTTGGTGCCATACTGGGTAGAGTTGGGATGTCAGTCTCTCGAAAATCCAAGTTAAAATCTGGCCAAGTATGCTGGCGTATGTCGTAGTGTATTTTGTTGTAAAAATACTTTGCATTATTTGTAGTAATCGCAAGCTACCATATAGTTCAACATGTGCATAATCAATGCAGTAAAATTTTCGTGTTGGGGCAATGCCGTGGTCCTTAGCATAAAATGTAACTGGTAAGGATGGACTTTTATGGTGAGTGCACTGCTGTCTATGTACAAGATAGGTGTTAGTATGTTTGCACATAACATAAACATTTGTGCTGCCTTCCGAAGAGTAATACTATAACTTACGACCGGGAGTAGAGAAAGCGGGCGCTTATATACGAAACCTGGGAAATGGTCCATTAAAGCAAAATCGAAAGGATCCCGGTAATTAGGGGGAAATTAGTGCAGTTACTTGCTGGTTACATTCTCTTAGAGCTTTTTGACACCAGAGTTTAAAATCGACGCTTCTTTTCAGCCTTCCAACCTTCTGCTCGCATCAACAACGCCGTCATACTGCTACGCTGCTCACAATGTTTTTTCAACTTGATCTGGTCCATCTCCAACTTGTTCATGAATTTTGCAAGTGGGCGTTGAAGGACGTTCGCAGATACAAGGATGCTGTATTGAACGGACCTAGAGTTAACTGTGTACACTCGATGTAGCAAGGGAAAAGCACTCATTTTGGCAACAGAGTGGAACGTTTCGTCCAGGTGTTACCGCAGTAGCGGTACTGGTTGTGCATGCTTCAACATCGAGCCACACTAGCGGTGCACTCGAATTCCTTCATATCGAAAATAATGCAAGATGGCACGCGAAGGAAATTCCCTGCTAGAAGCCATGCATTTAGGTATGAGTAGACATTCTTCCTAATTTGGCTTCAAAATAAACGTTTCTCCCTGAGACGCTTGGTTATTGCCAGCTTTATTACTTACGATTTGTTAACACTATTGTGGTAAGATACCAAATTCCACAGGGTTCAGTGCTGCCACCGCGAATACTTCCAGTGCTCAACAGCGACCTTGCATGCGTTATCTCATCGAATTTGCTGCTTTTCTCCGATGGTCTCAAGATGTAGCAAGCGGTTAGTAGAACTGAAGATCACGGTTTTCTCCAGCTTGACCCGGATGGCTTCCATGAATTGTGGGCGAGCAACTTGCCCTATATTCTTGCGAATGCGTACAAGCTAGTTTATGTGCGTTACCAGAGGACGAGCGTCTATAAACTTGGCAATCACATCTTGTAGGAAGAATTCCTGCAGCGTGATCGCGAAATACTGGTCCAGAACGACTTCCGCTTATCGATACAAACCGAGAAGGTCCGCTTTATACACAGAGTCAGTTGTATTTCCAGAAATGCTCAACATCTAGGTGCGACCCCAGATGGTATGGGATCTGTGGCAAAACAAATATAACGCTGTACTAGAGACTCCACAACGAAGAACATCCAAGAAAGTTAGTGCCCTCTTCCATCTGCCCTACTAACCTACACTGAAGTCAATAGAAATGTGCCGCAGTCGGCATCAGCGCTTGCAGGGACCTCATAATGGTTTACTAAATCTTGAGGCAATCAAACCACATTTACTGCCCACTCTTGGAACCCATTTCATAACGCCAAACTGCAGTGTAGGCAGCTGGAATTTTGTCGGAATTTCTACACATTTCGAGCATAACAGCCATTAAGCCCACTTTGCAGCGAAAGCTTTTTCTTTTCTTACTTTATCAATACTTGATAAGGATTTTGTTATTTGTATGTTATTCTATGACCTGCGTTCACCGAAGGGTTAAATAACGCAACCAAACGGTGTGTTCCCATACTCTAACCAGGTGGATTTATACTCGTCTTCCAGTGAACAGCTCGGTGAGTTCACCAGTGTGCACTCAATCTTGCTGACAGGTTCCTCGTTAGCTTTCTCATTTTCGCCTTGACAAACCTACAGGACCTATCAAACGGTGATCTTTTTACCCGCTATATATCATTGTGCTGTTGTAATTTAAGATATATGTATTTCTGTCACTAACTGCTTTCTCTGGCAAACCATCTAGTGCCCTGCATAATCCCGTTAATGAGTGCCTCGTAACTGTTATTGCCAGCACTCAAAACATGTATAGTTGATGTCTGCAGTTTCCGTACAGACCATTCCGTGCAGCCTTACAGCGGATTTTGCTTTGTGTTCGTCGACTTGTCCAGCGTTTACAGATCTAAACCAGAGCAAATACATTGCTACCGATCATTTCAGCATAGGTTGTCTCTCGATTTCCTAGTGGCAAACTATATGCACAAATCCATGAAAGCAGTACATGTTGAGCGAGATTAGTGGAATCAACCGTCACATGGTATTTCGCATCCACATATCTTTGTGTACATCATTATTATATAATGAACTTATGAAACAACTACTGATTAGCCTTACTAAATCTAGTGATGACGTTAACCGACAAAACCCATGTTTGCTTTTGCTCATCGCAATTAGAGTACAAGCCAAAATGGTCAACTACCAATCCCGGAAAGCACTAGACGACCGTTTTGCTCTATTGGGGCTTGTCAATGATGTTTGTTCCCTTGGTCCCCTACAGAGAATCGAACACATGATCGATAGAGGCTTGCACCACTAGTCAGCAGCTTGTGCTACTGAGCCATGAGGGAGAAGAGTAACCTACATGGATTGAAATCTGGGTTGTAGTCCAACCCATCCTCCACTGCCCTGGAGGTTATTCCCCGGACAAAGGACACTGGTTAGCCGTCAGGTGTCAGGACTTCCCTTGCCAGTAGCAGTGAATCCACACAGCATTTTTAACGAGTGGTAGGGCGGTTTTCGATTACTTATGAGTATATGGATTTGGTACCAGTTGCTCAGTTCATACCAATGGGTTGGGCTCTATCGCAGTTAGAAGTCAATCCATGGTATTCAACTGTCGGCTCGGTGGCATAAGGTGCATACTAGTGGTGCAAGCCCCTGGCGGTCATGGGTTCTTTGCTCTGAAGTTGACCAAAGGAATGCGCACAAGTTGGTAGCCCTAATAAGGCGAAACGGTTGTCCGGCACTTTTCCTGGATTGATAGTCTACCTTTCTGGCTTGTAAGCTAACTATGCTGAACTAAATAAAAGTTAGCAAGTCCCTATACGCAGAACTGATAAGCGTATTTGTTACATCATTCACTATGATGGGCATTTACCCTTTCTAACCTAACAATAACCCGATTCCTGTGTTACTCTAATAATTCTGGGTTCACCACAACGTGCAGAGTTCGGGTGACGAGTAATTCACACTAGGTTTGTGGGTTTGTCATTTATTTTCATTAAATTGCATAGTGGGTTCCACTGGTCTTGGTCGTCAGACAACCTACCCCTCAATATGATGGCGGTAGCTTCGGAGACATTGGTGCACACGACAGTCAGGGAGTTATTATTGGAGCCCATTTTGTTCAACTGCAAGATCGGGTGATCATTGGGCCTGGCTTTATGCCAACTGATGATGGCATACTGTTTGTTGCTTTATTGGCGTTAGCGGTGTTTGCAACAGAGAAAACACTAAAGGTAGCACCCCGAGGGACTTTTGCAGCGAGCTCTGCATATGTGACTGGTGTCTCAAGGAATTCGAACTCGACCAGGGACCCTTGGGACGCAGATGCAGTAGACTCGGGTTAGGCTGTCCCATCCTAGTTACTGATACAAATTGTCAAGACCGGCTGAATTTGATCGATCACGCGTTTCGAGTGGTGCCTAATTTTCGAAGTCCTGAGTACCGCTTGTCCATCAGAGCTACTGTCTGTTTTCGACTGGCGTTCTTCCAAAATTGAAACAGATAACGGCAAGAGGACCTTGTCATTCGCTCGAGCAAAGCAAATTTGGCACCAATGTTTCTCGTTGAAGCCAGTGTGTTAGCATGACGTATGCTCGCTTCCAGTGATATTATCTTAGCGTTCATACTTTGTTCAACTTCTTTTAACCGCTCCCACTTTTGGACTAGGAGAAGTATACATTTGACTAGTGGGATGGTCGAACACGCAGTACAAAGCAGCTTTCGTCTTAGGAACTGTTTTGAGCTCTCACGTGTTGTTGGGAAAGAATTGCACATTTTGGAGGGTACCATTTGAAGCAGTGTGAGCAAAGTAAATTAAATTTGACTAGTCGGTTACATTCAGCGGACCCAGATTTACCCTTCGACTGTTGCCCTTGGATTCGCATCTAGTTGCTTTCTGCTACTTGGCATAGGGTTGCTACCTTACACAATAGGCTAGTTGACGTTGCGTACTTTTCCGACTGGCCGGTTGCGCACCCTTGTCAAACGGATGGATGCGGACACTTCATTTCTTGGTCACACACTGCCTTATGGATTGAGAGGGAACGCAAGAAAACCAACCTGCCCGGACTTGAAACGGACGCACGCTGGTTTCAGTTCACACTCCGGCCCAACCGCCACACTGTCAGGTGACGGCTGTTGTGAGTTTTGATCCTGTTTACTGGTCGGAGCGCTGTTCACGACAAGGCGCAGTTGGTACGACTGCATGGTCGATCGATCGCCGTCAACCGATAAAATTGGTCGGCCCACGCGGACGGCTAGCTGACAAATTCAAACCGGTAAGATGATTTAGGTGATAAGTCAATGGAATAATTTCTACGCTTGGTGATCCACTGGATAAAGCTGGTAATTTCGTATCGGATGAGTGGAACTTGGGCGATATGTGATGCAAAGCGTAGGGACAAGCACACTACAAGGCGGCTCACAGGGTGATTGAAAAAGATTTGCACAGTTTTCACAAAAACTGTTAGACATCCTTCCAAACTTTTCCGGTGATGGAATGAGCACACAAAATGGAATCGGGTGGTATATGCCACTCCAAGGTTCGTTAAGATTGCACGTAGAACACATAAAAATTGTACAACTTGTCGGAGCATCGATTTTGTGTCCACTTGACAGTGACCTTGACCAAGGTATCTAAGTAAGTTACGAGTTTATTGGTCTACCGTTAATTATTTAAGCTAATTTTCAATTGCTGCACAAAATTCATCACTAATCAGTTTTTGACGATAATCCCCTGGTGAATCAGAAAGTAAAACAAAGATATCCGCTAATTGGAGGGTCAAGTTTGGATTACACATTATGTGATTGGATTGCGACATGCAACCTCAATGTAATGGACTGTGATTCACATTGAAATGAACCTTAGTCACTGCGACCGCTGGGACCGTATTCAAAGTAGATGGAAACTGGGTATTGCCCACCCGAAAACACTGCACAGCCACGACGCGTTTCGATGTAATTTCATCTCATCCGCCTTTTTGTTTACCTAATCAGTCGAAAGGATATTTACCGCTTGAGATGCAACCCGACAGTTACTTTCCCTGGACTTTCAAAATACCAAGGAGATATTTTGTCAAATTTTCATGACGCATCTGGTTTAGGTCATTTTCCTTTTTGTCTAGGAAAGGCTGATTTTCTAGGCCAGTATGCTATGCATGGAATATGGGCATGTATCCAGCCATCAAACACCCATGTGCGCACAAAGACTGACAGGCTCGCACGGTCCGTCAAAGAAGTAGTTCCATCCTCCATTCTACATCGAATTAAGATGTACTCGAGTTATCGATTAGCGTAGAGATCGCTTTGGTGTAAGTTTCTTTTTTACGGGACTAATGGCGCATGAGTACTGGACTAGTATCTTTGTGAACACCACGATGGTATTTATTCTCATTAAATCGTGGTTTGCGTCATTTAACCCGAAACGTGCTTGTATTTCAGCGAAGTGTGATATGGTATTGACCTCATAAACCGAACTCAGTGTAGAATTTAGTGCAAGTTACCGGAGAGTAATTGCATGCGAATATTCAAGTGGGCTCACCATAAAGGGTTGTTGTGCTTTCTTTTATGGGTGAAACTGGCTCTTCCTCAGTAGGCTCTTCAGCTGTATGGTAAGACGAAGAGTTACTGTCATCCAGTTTCTCCAGTTGGTTGGACAGCACTTTAACTGTAAGGTACACAAATACAGAGATTTGGTTGAGTGTTAAATCACCATTATTATTTTCTTGCCATGTTGAAAGTGCAAGATGAAACCTTCTCAAACAGCGGGTGTAGCAATAACGGAGTTCAATTAATGCTTACCAGACTTCGTAGCGCAAAGCATAATTATCCTCTTGAGATCTCTTGACGCCAAACTAGCCAACGTTTTGCTCCTTGGAGAAAGGGCGGGTAACAGCCGTGCAGCTATATCAACAGACGCAGGTTAGCATACACCAACCTCTTTGCTTGCTGCAAATCAGGACCACGCTCAAGCTGAAGAAGTTGGTTGTAAGTAGCGAAGTCTTATCACTGCACTCAAATCAAACAGGCAAGCTGATGTAACGTGTGTGAGCTAGATTATTGGTCCGAAAGTGACCAATTAGTGTGAAGGATAATAAAATCCACGAGAGGATAAGAGAGTATTTAGGTGTCAGAAAGTACACATCCCCAGCACTGCAACCTACGATCTGTTGCTTGCTTCCGTCTGTCGATGTCCACTGTAGGAGTGGAAGTAAATTGGGGGTATTCAACTGGCTTCAGTTGATGTAATAAAAGCCATACCCAGTTAGACAGTCTGCAGTATGTAGAAAAGCAGTTGAACGATCGTTTCTTCCTCTATGAAATGACAAGCACCACGCATTCCTTTAGACCGGTGAGGAAGTTAAAGTTAAAGTTCAATCTGGACAGGAACTGTAGGAAATTATCATGTGTGTTGCTTCTTCAATGTGCCATTGAACCAGAATAGAGTTCGCAGGATCGAGTTAAAACCGAGGCGAGCCAAATCAAAAAGCACGAATTACATCACGTTCAATCAATCAATGCCCACGGGGCCTGTACTAACGATCCCCACTGTATCGGCCACGTGAATAAGAATAAAAGCGAAGAGAAGCGAATCAGCAAAAACAGAATAATTCTAAAAGTAGTACGAGAGAATGTGTGGACAAAGCAACACTGCTAATACGGTGTGAGAAGTCAAGGAAATAGATGTGTAAGTTAAGAACCATACAGAAAGGTCTTAAATTGCAGCCACAAGGCGCCGAGTCGATGTACAAACTCCTTCACCATTGATGCTAATACGACTTCGCTGGGTAGTGTGTTCCATGAGTTGATGACCCTGCGTGATAAAAGAAAGTCAGCTCTAACGCGATCGGATCTGGTCTTATGCAGCTTTAGAGGATGATTACGAAGAGATGGCATCTGAGCCGGATGGAGCAGTTTAGTTAGGACAGGCCCAATCTTGCCCGTCAATATACCGTACGTAAGAATCAGGTCTCCCTGAAGGCGCCTATAGTGCAGCAAAAACATCTGCAACCTTAGCAGCCTATCAGGATACGTGAGGTGCCTCAATCCTTGCACCATTTTCGTGCCAATCCTCAGAACTCGTTTGACTGCCATTTTGTCTCGGACCAAGCATGGAGGACAGGCCTGCATACAGTACTCCAAGTATGTCCTGCCAAAAGCTGAGGAAACTGTAACAAACATTTCATTTGTTATGATGTCGAGCGACCTGCGGATCGGCGACAGTGTTTGAAAACCCTTGCGGTTGGCAGTTGTCCAGTTCTCGCTGGATTTGAAGTCAGAGGATAGCGATATACCCAAGTCCATTTGTTCAATCATTTAAGGTACTACATTTCTGCCAAGTACGTAATGAGTGGTGGGAGTGCTTGATCCTATGCGCAGGACCGAACACTTGGTCAGCTTTATTGACAGCTGCCACAAACCAAACCATTCACAAAGTTTGTCAAAAGCTGTCTGCAGAGCCGCGGGACCATCAGAATCGCGCTATGTCTTCCAACATCGCAAGTCCTCTGCAAAAATAAGGGGTGATACCTTAAGCTTCTCAAGCAGGTCGTTCACATACAGTGCAAACAGTAGAGGTCCGAGAATCGATCTCTGAGGAACACCACACAAGACGGATTGTCTGAAAGCCGAAATCCATTTCAATACTGCCTGAAACACCATAGGATTCCAGTGTAAAAAATGACAAAGCCGTACGGTGTCAAAGGCTTTAGAAAAGTAAATGAACAATGCATCCACCGTCTGTTCTTGATTCATACCCTCAGCCCAACACTTTCGAGCAACCAACATGTTAGTCAAACAAGTGGCCTCTGCGGAACCCATCTTCGCGGAGCCTTCGGTCGGTTTGAACCATCAATATTTCCCCAAATGCTTAACGCCTACGTGCGACCTCAAGTGGAATATGCTATTCAGGCGTGGCAGCCGTGGCAGAAACAGGATGTCGTTGCTCTGGAGACTCCTCAACGAAGGGCAACCAAGAACGTCAAGGGCCTCTTTCATCTGCCCTATCAGCTTAGACTGAAATCTCTGAGAATGTACAGCAGTCGATATCGGCTTTTGCCGGGGGATCTCATAATGGTTTACCAGATTCTGAAGAACCCAAACCACATTTGCCGTCCGCTGCTGGAATTGAACCACAACACTAAACTAAGAGGTCACCCTCTGAAACTGACAATTCAGTATAGCCGGCTTGAATGCCGTGGAAATTGCTTTTCTCTCTGCGTGTGCAAGCCTTGGAACGCCCTCCCTAATCTGGCGATAGTTAAAAAACGTGTTGACGATGCATTGTCTCACCTTTCATTTTAGGACTTGTTAGCCAGGGGCAACAAAACGCAATCAAACGGTGCTTTTCCAAACGCCTAACCAATGGATTTATGGATTTAGACGTTTGATATCCGAACATCTCCGATATTCCACATAAGTCTGTGGTGAGTCCACCACAACGCTTTTCACTTTATCATGCAATTGATTTTCGCAATAATTTCCTTCCCGCGGGACTTGTTAAGCGATGCTTTTTTACCCGTAATAAACCATTGTTCCATTGAGATGGGCTGCGCAAGCTGAACTTAGCCAAGTGCTTCTCAAGAGGATTTCTTACCAGCTTCTCTAATACTTTAACTAGTACACTTGTTAGGCTAACCGGTCTGTAATTTTCAGGTAGGTGCTTATCACACTTCTTGAAAATAGGGCACACGATAGCACCTCACCACTCGGCAGGGAAGGAGCAGCTACGAAGATACTTACAAAGAGACATGTATTCGGTTTACACTGCAACTCAGCCAGCCGGTGCAAAAACGTAAGATAGAGAGCACCTATCCCGGCAGCTTTACTAGCATTCAGGTCATGTAGGAGCCTGAGTACCTGAGCTTCTGAGGTGGAAAGGAATCACGAACAAGGGACCTGATTCTTTAAACGGAGGTTTAGACCTCTCTCCCAAAGCGTATATCGATAACCGATGTAACTAACTGCAATACGGTGAGGTTCACTGTTAACCTAATTACACACTTCTGCAATATTGTGATCAAGTTAGCTCCCCAAGCAACAACCTACCAGACCCAATCCGTCAAATAGTTTAAGCGTTGAAACCGATTCCGGTCCAGCAGTGTATACAGCAGGGTAGTATGGGATTTTCGAGTTTTGTATTGGACCCAGTGGGATTACAATCAGCAACTCTTTCATGTTTAGTTATCATTATTCGCCGTGGATCAGGGACAGCATTCCTCATTTTTAATAATGACTCTTAATAAACATAATCGATTACACAGCCACTACACAACTAGACAAGCAGCGGACGGTTGTTTTACCCTTTCGGGAGTCCTCTGTCTCCTGTGGTGCTAAAACTCATGGTCCCACGCTTACCTCTTCGTAGTCAAGAGTACTGAACCACGGGGAGGGACAGTAATAACCGTGACCAACTAACTATCTATGTTGCATGGAGACATCCTTTTACGTTTCGAACATGCCTAAGGAAGGGTTGGCTCCCTGAGACACCCCCTGCCAAGTCATCATCATCTGATGGCTTAGTTCTCTGCTCGTAAACCTTAGGTGGCGGTTTCGGGCCCTACGCTTGATGGAGAGGACGTTCACAACTGACCAGCCTCGAAATAACAAAGTAATTACACGCTTTCTTTTCTGTTTGGCTCCAGTCGAGATAAGCTGCATTTACGTCCAGTATGATGGGGGGGGGGGTTGTTCAATTCCCTACCATACTACATCGTCGACGTATTAGCGGACAGAATTGCTACAGCACTGAAATAATAACAATGAGTTTATGCGTGGTGGAGTTGGTTATAAGGTCAGTAATAACAGTTATATCCTGACTCAAGCCAATGCGCTTTAGGTCCAGTCTACTTGCTAAGAACAAGATTACTTTCAGCAAATAACACTTAAATAGGTACTAGTGTGTAGTAGGGGAATTTTTTGCATGTTGACGAAGCTTCATCCCCGCTACACGCAGCCAGTCAGCCACTACACATACTGAAAGTCGCTGGACGGCCGTTTCGTTCCGATGGGACTCGTTAGTAGCGCATCCCCGCAGAATCCTGCCGGATTCGAACCGATGAGCTTAATCTTGCGAGTCAGCCACTGAGCCGTGGGTGACAGCAACGAACCGCAATGACTGATATCTAACTGCGATATAGCGCGGCTCATCCTCAGCTTTAAGGCAAGTTATGGACGTGCAGAGGACATGGCTGGCCTTCAGAACTGCGACTTCCTTCGTAAACCGCCACCAATCGAGGTGACGTGTAAGCTGCCTGCTGCGACTGCGGATTATTTGGTAGTGGTATAAGGAGTTTCTGGGTATTTTGTGAAGATTCGTAGCAGTTAAACTCAGGCAGACAGCCAGCACACATCCAGGAAAACGCTAGACGGCCGTTTCGTCCCATTGGGACTCGTCAGTAGCTCGCCCTTGCCGAATTCTGCCGGATTCAAACCCATGATGTTGCTCTCACGAGCCAGCGGCCTATGCCACTGAGCCATGGCTTACCCGCCGGATTCGGCGAGTGCACGACACTGACGAGTCCTAATAGGATGAAATGGCTGTACAGCCCTTTTCTGGATATGTTGTGGCTGACTGGCTAATCCATCTGCGGAGAATCTTTCTCAAAAAGCAAATAGTTGGACATATACCAACTGGATTGCCGCTCTTAATTGTCAAGAAGCCAACAC